AAAATATTGTTGAATATAATAACATATAAATTTTTATTTATAAATCTAATATATTAGTCCAGAACATCCAACTCAATGTTCTTATGAACGAAAAAAACTATATCATCGTCCTCCTTTTACAGAATGGCCAAAGAATCTGAAGGAAGCAGTAAATTTATTTGAGAAGCCCGAAGATGAACATTTTGATACTAACAATTCTGTTCTAGAAACAGTAGTTATTATTCAGAATAATGGGAATGATCCTATCTATATTCCAAATGATAAACACAAATTATTATCTTTTGATACGGCCAATGAACAAGGTGTCATACTTTTTCGTGTGTATAGCCGAAAAGTTGACACAGCTATAACATACTCTCCAGAGACTGGTATAAAATTATACCTCCTAATATGTGAAGCAAAACGTCTAAACAAACATCAAGGTGGTGATTACAATAAACTATGCAGAATGCTTAATGATGCTGCAAATAGCTTTATTTTATACTGGGCCAAAAAATGTAAAAAGGTTACTAAAGAATTAAAGAAATTGTTTTGTGAGTTTCGATGGATTGGGCTATTTTCATCTGGTATGTAACTCAGTAAATTTGTTTTAGTTGGACGTATTATAATATCATTATTAATTTTAGATGGAAAGCTTAATTTAATGATATACCAAATATGTGAAGAAACCAAGATTCATTTCATTACATATCTAAATTCTTATCCCATTTCAATTCTGATCTCAAACATGAATCATTATATGGCAAGCGCATTAGAGATATTTTTACAAATTGAGGTTAATATCAATAGTAATAAATATTATTTTTACAATACCATTATTTTCTTCATTGATTTGATTAAATTTTTAGGACATTTTCAAATGAACTTGAAAGTGATAGAAAAAATTCAAAAGATTGTAGATCAAATTAATGTTGAAGAATCTGAAAATTTTGAAACGCCTCTAGAATATCTAAAGAAGGTCATTGGTGAAACACCTTCTACCCCACATAAATAATTTTTTGGATCTCATAATAATGCTGTAATGGTTGTAATATCTAAAATGCTATCAAGCATGATATTTCTAAAAAGTGCAAATTATTTCAATAAAAGGAACTTTCCAAACGAGTGTTAACACTTACTTTTTTAATAAAGAATTTTTAAGATTACAATATATAAATATTATTGAGAATAGTTTGTTTGTAACATTTATTTTATATCGCATATTTAATAAAAACTTTTTAATTACAATATATAAATATTATTGAGAATAGTTGTGTTTGTAGTCGATTTCGCATTAGTTGACCTTATCAAAAATCGACTTAGTCGATTTTTTATTAAAGTAACCAATCAGATTCGATACATTACCCTCTTAGTATATATATAACGCTAGAAGTATTCTGACCTGTCACAAAAATTCCAACCTGGGTCACCCGGGCAGTAAAAGAAATTATAATTCACAAAACTTTTAGATAATGGAAAACTTACGATTCTCAACTCTGTAAGTTTGACTAATTTAAAGACCTCTGCGTGGTTTTTGAATATTCCAGAAAACACTCTTATTCTTTAGACAAAATATATGATTGGCCCTTTTCTGTAATAATTTAGCTATACAACTTTTATTAAGTTCATAACTAACCTAAATTTAGTCAAAATTAAATTTTACTATTACTTAATTCAGCTTTTATTAAGTTTATAACTAACCTAAATTTGGTCAAAATTAAATTTTACTATTACTTAATTCTCTTATTTTAATTTTCTGTATTCAAATATAATAAAATGCAAGCGCACGCTATATCTATTTTAATTTGTTAACACTACGTAGATGTTGCGAAGTGGTTAAAATATATGATTATCCTAACCCAAACCCTAACTGATGTGCCATGTTTTAATCAGAAGGTGACATGTAAATTGGCATGAATAATCCCAGTCAAAACTTGGAGATTGGCAAATGTCCTATCACCTAACCTAACATTAACCCTAATGTAGACCGAACACTTAATTATGTGATGCGATTATCATGAAGATGTCACTGAGTTCCTTGATTGGAAATCAAACATAAAATTTAAATTCAGCCCATATGATCGGCGTTTTGTTAATTTCAGTAATCGACTACTGAAATTACCAAAATGTTTATTTTAGCGTTAGGGGATTAGATAAAATAAACTTTGAATAATAATATCTCGATAACTACTTATTTAAACATGACAAAATTTTATTTTATTTTATTTCTATGGATTCGCTCTAAATTCAAAAACAATTTAGACGATAACATGCTCTGAATCTTAAATGCAATAGCATCATATGATTTACGGACCTATGGCCCATAGGTCTGTTATATTATATGATCATAACTCCAACCTAGAATAAAGGTTCATATATAATTTTACAAAGATAGAAAAATTGAAATATTTATCAAATCGATATTTGTTTTGAAGTAAAATTATAACCAAAAAATTAATTGATAGGTATTACATATTACTATTAGTATGATGGAAATTTACATAATTCACTTTGTAGATATACTTTCTGACAAAACCTGGACAAATCCCAATTCCAAAAAAAAAAAAAAACAATTGCTATTTATAAAGATTAAATCAAACAAGTAATCTTAATATTTTGCAAATATATTATAAATTTGGGTAAAATTGGAAATTGAGAACGAGATAATCAGCAGTGCTTGATTCTTTCGCTGCCTAATGGATGGATGTTGCACTATCATGAAAAGCTTTCGAATTGGTTTAATCTGTGATCATATGATCTTACGGACTCTAAATCATTTGACATTACTGACTTTTAAGACATTAAAATCCCTGGGACACTTCAAGAACACGGAACCCAGTGATCATCACATCACATGCAATGACGACATTTGTTTACTAACACTAAAAAATTAGCCCAAACTAACCTATCACCTAACCCTAACACTAATCCCAACTACCCTAACTTAGGCCGAACACTTAATCATGTGATGTGATAAACACGAAAATATCACTGGATTCCGTGTTCTTGAAACTACCCAAATCCCTTAGATAATTATTCTATTAAGTACTTTTAGAGGCGCTTACATTTATAAGTTCAAATAAAGGATCAATCACCTTTTTACGAAGAAATATTCTCAACTGGAAAATTGATAGTACCAACCCATTTTTCATTACTTATTTGAGAGAGTATCTAAAACACAGAAAATAAAATTAGGGTTAGAGTTGGTCTGAAATTATGTAAAGGGAAAGTATTATAGGTAAAATTACTCTCCTGCCATTTTTTATTAAAGCTTCAAGGTAGGTTTTTTGCTTCATAAAAGTTTACGATTAATATTTATTTTTTTCTTACTTATTAGGTATTTATTTATTTTACATTGGCCCCTTTCATCGGTTTAGACTTTTTTCAGCAGCATAGTATTGTAATATCAGATATTTCTTTTACTAAACCAAAATAAAGCTTCCCTATTACTATATTAGGATAAATATAGATATACTAATGAAAAGAGTCTGAACCGCTGAAAGGGGCCATTGTTATAAACAACAATTTATGCATGTACAAATAGCAGTTTTTACAATAAATATGTAATTATAAAATTTATAAACAAGTTATTTAATTTGGTTATTTTTACGTTTACTTTTTTTTGACTATTTTAAACCTATTTTTATTAAGCAAAAAATCGCGTATTAGGAAAATTTAATTAATATTTCTTATCAGATTATTAACACGCACATACTTTAACGTTAATGTAAGAATATTCCAAAGCTATGATTATATGATCTCACGGACCCACAGGTCTGTGAGATCATGTGAAGTTTTCAGTAAACACTATATTTTAAGAAAAAAAAAAAAAAATTCATATTCAATAGAGGTCTTACCCGGGTCAGAAAATACCGACCCGGGCGGGTCAGGTATTGACCCGGGTTATAACCCAGGTCAACAGGTCAGACGAAAATTCACAAAGTTTTTGAAGTTAATCCTTAAAAGTTGATGTAACGACTCTTAATTAGAGCTGTTAGTATAGAGAACAGCCTGACTCCAAATATTTCAACTGGAGTTTTTCGAATTTTTTTATTGAAAATTTTTCGATTTTGCCCGTTCGTTCATTTTCTACTTTGGGAAATACTTGACCCTAAGAAGCTGACCCGCACAGGTCAGACGACCTGGGTAAGAGCTTTACTATTTAGTAAATTATAATGCCTTCTACCCATATAGTTATATTAGTAAATTGCATTTTAGTAGGTTTTTGCATATTTTGAATTCTGACCCGTTTGACCCGGGTTAGAACAATTTTCGACCCGTGACCCGTCGATTCGGGTGACCCGTACGGGTCACTCGACCCGGGTAATAGCTCTAGTTTTATATTAGACTTATCATGATTTGTGTGTGTATTGTAAAAAATTTCGATACTGTATTTACTTGCTTTAGTAGCATAAATGATTAAATAGGATTATATTAGTTTTGGTATTGGATTTATCGTGATTTGTATAGTGGTTTACTGTAAAAAAAATTATGTTACTATACTTACTTTCTATTGTGATTTGGATGTCATTATGTAGTATTAAAATTATTTCATTGATTATCACGATTTCCGATTTGCTGTAATATTGCACTTACTTTCTATCATTATATATGGTTTGTGTAATATTAGAATTATCGTGATTTTGCTCTCCAGGGATTTAGTTTAAAATTTTGGCCCGAATTAAGCTTAACTTAGACCGGATTAAGCTTAATTCGGGCCGAAATTTTGAACTAACCTTTGATGTTAGCAACTGCGGTAAAGATTCTATTACTTCACTTACTCTATTCCAAGCTCTTTTATAATAATTAGAGATGATGTTGTGGTTTGATTCAATGAAGAAGTTCCATCATTTTTAATTGATAGTTTGTTAGTGATGTCTTGACTTAAATCTTCAGAAATAAATTGACTTAAATCTTCAGAGATAAATTGATTTAAAGTTTTGAGAATTAAACTCATTTTTGGACGATTGTCGGGCTCCTTGTCCCAACATTGCCTGTAAAGCTTAACGTATTGAGATGGCGTTCCTTCTATAGGTTTTTCTCTATTTCCTTGAGCTATGTGATAACAAAGGAGAACCGTTGACTCAAAAGTCTCAAATGGTGGCCTGCCACTTGAAATTTCCCAGAGGATTACACCAAAACTATAAACGTCAGATTTCATGTTATATTTATACTTATTGTTAACAAAACATTTAGGTTCGATGTATGCCGGCATTCCATTAACATTTGATTTTGAAGTTAGTGACGTCTCATTAATTTGTTTTGACAATCCGAAATCAGCAATCTTTGGTTGTCCTTGATGAATTAAAATATTCTTTGAATGCTATATTATAAGAGGATTAATAAATTAAAATTCATCATATATGAAGAAAATAAAATATATAATATTCTTACAAGGTCTCTATGAATAACATTATTTTCATGTAAGAACAAAAGACCAAGAGCTGTTTCCTTAGCAATACGTAATTTATCCATCCATTGCAATCTTGTAAATTTTATTTTCAGATATTCTCGCAAATTTCCTTGGTTAGCATATTGTAAAACCATGTTATAATACCCATTGTCGTCTATTTATTCATATATAATAATGAATGTTCTAGAATTAAAATCTTTGTTATGTTCGTCATTCGCAATAAATTGCAAGTATACCTTTCGTGACTCCATGAAATGTGACAACGTTTTGATGATTACTAACTCTGTAATAATTTAAGCTTTAAACGCAAATAATATTAATTTAATTCAATCAAGTTTATAAAATTTTAATAGATAATAATACCTCACTAATAAAGTTATTAACTATGTTTTTATCTAAATCTTTATTAACATTAATACATTTGAGAGCAACTGTTAATTCGCAATCTTTCCATTCGTATTTGTAAACTGTTGCAAAACCTCCTTTACCAATCACAGTAGGGTTCGTAAATTTTTTATATTCATGATAATTAATGTGTCCATCTGAAATAGCTCTTTCGAACCATTCAAGCCAATGGTTGGTTTTATTTATATTCATGGAAT